AGCCAGGCCACTGCCTCAACATTTCACTGCCATGAAATTTCTCTGCCAGATTAATTAATCTGCTTCCCTTAATCTCAGTCTCAGGCAGTCTCTGGACTAAAGTAAAACGCAGACAAACTTTGTGCCAAGCAATAATGCATTGTCTGGAGTCCAACAACCAATATAGTCCTTCTTCCCGGCAGAAACCTCCCAAACCCGGTCTTCCCTGGGAGGATTTCTATCAGCCTTCTAGTATTCTGAACTCTGACCAGAATCTCCCAGACAAAACAGCCCAAAGTGTTCTAGCGCTTCTCTTTCAGGCAACATCTCTGAACCTTTCCAAACACTTTCCACAAGCCAAATCCAAAGGCTCTTGAACCATATGGTCAGGTACAGTCACAGCAACAATCCCACTTCTCTGGTACCAAATTCTGTCTTGGTTACTTTTCTCTCATTGCTGAGACCAAATACCCAACACCCAAAATTAAGGAAGGAAAGGTTTATTTAGCTCACACTTTGGGGAGGTTTCAGTCCATACCTGCCTGGCTCCGAGGCACAGTGGCACAGCAACAAGAGCAAACGGGGGAATGGCAGTGTGTGCAAGCCTCTTTCCCTCCCTTATAGTGTAAGATGGGTACCCCGACCAAGGGGCGGTACTCACATAGTCAACCTTCTAAACTTCTCACACTCACAGTGAACAACATCCTAGAGCAGGATGTAGAACTGCTGAGTCACTTAGCCAAACACACAAGTTGACCAATGTATCAACCAGAACACTTACATACACAGTGTTCCTCCCTGGTGAGAATCTGTATATGTGTTTCACAGTGTCTATGACAAAGGCCTTCCTACACTGATTACATACATACGGTGTCTCTCCATTATGAGTCTTGTCATTTATTCAACAAACACTGTGTTGGCTGAAATTGCTTACATTCATAGTTTCTCCACAGTGAGACTTCTCTCATATATTTGACACTTTGTGTAGAAGGTTTTCCCAAATTGCTTACATATTTAAGGTTTCTCCCACGAGAGTCTATACACGTCTTTGACAATTTGAGTGCGATATGAAAGATTTCACACATTGCATACATACATGGGGTTTCTCCCCAGTGTGAGTCCATTCATGAATTTGACAACTACCACTTGTGCTGAAAGCTCTTCCACAGTTCTTATGTACATAGGGTTTTTCCCCGATGTGGGTCCGTTCATGTATTGGCACTATCTTTCCTGCTGAAAGCTTTGCCATATTGCTTACATGCCTAAGGTTTTCGTCAGTGTGAGTCTGTTCATGCTTTGGACAAACACCATGTGTGTGGAAGGCTTTCCCACATTGCTTACATGCATAGGGTTTCTCTCCAGTGTGAGTCTGTACATGTTTCACAACCTCTGTGTGTGACAAACGCTTTCCCACACTGCTCACATATGTAGGGTTTCTCCTCAGTCTGAGTCCTTTCGTGTGTTTGCCAACCTGCTCTGCTGCTGAAAGCTTTCCCACATTGCATACATACGTAGGGTTTCGCCCCAGTGTGTCTGTTCATGCCCTTGACAATCATGTGTGTTGAAGGCTTTCCCATATTGCATTCATACAGAGGGTTTCTCCCCAGCGTGAGTCCGTTCATGAAGTTGACAACTACCACTTGTGCTGAAAGCTTTTCCACAGTGCTTACATACACAGGGGTTTTCCCCAGTGTGGGTCCGTTCATGTATTCGCAAACGAGCTTTTCTGGTGAAAGCTTTGTCACATTGCTTACATGCATAAGGTTTTTCCCCAGTGTGAGTCCGTTCATGGTTTTGACAAATACGACGTGTTTTGAAGGCTTTCCCACACTGCTTACATGCATAGGGTTTCTCCCCAGCGTGACTCCTTTGATGTACTTGTGAAACTGCTTTGCTGCTGAAAGCTTTAACACATTGTATACACACACAGGATTTCTCCCTAGTGTGAATATGTTCATGTAGTCGACAAAAACGACGTGTGGTGAAAGCTTTCCCACAGTGCTTACATACGAAGGGTTTTTCCCCAGTGTGAGTCCGTTCATGTATTTGACAACTGTATTTTTGGCGGAAAGCTTTGCCACACTGCTTACATGCATAAGGTTTCTCCCCAGTGTGAATCAGTTCATGCTTTCGATAACTAGAACGTGTATTAAAGGCTTTCCCACATTGCTTACATGCATAGGGTTTTTCCCCCGTGTGAGTCCTTTCATGTATTTGCCAACCTTCTTTGGTGCTCAAAGCTTTCCCACATTGTATACATACATACGATTTCTCCCTAGTGTGAGTACCTTCATGCAGTTGACAAAGACGACGTGTGCTGAAGGACTTCCCACACTGCTTACATGCGTAGGGTTTCTCCCCAGTGTGGGTCCATTCATGCATTTGCCAACCTGCTTTGCTGATGAAAGCTTTCCCACACTGCTTACATGCATAGGGTTTCTCCCCAGTGTGAGTCCGTTCATGAATTTGACAATAACCATTTGTGCTGAAAGCTCTTCCACAGTGCTTACATACATAGGGTTTTCCCCCAGTGTGGGTCCGTTCATGTACCTGCCAACTTCTTTTGGTGCTGAAAGCTTTCCCACACTGCTTACATGCATAGGGTTTCTCCCCAGTGTGAGTCCGTATATGTCTTTCACAATCTGTCTGTGTGGCAAACCCTTTTCCACATTGCTTACACACGTAGGGTTTCTCTCCACTGTGGGTCTTTTCATGTGCTTGAAGAGAATATTTTCCACTGAAGACTATCCCACACTGGCTACATACACAGTGTCTCTTCTCAGAGTGCGTCAATTCATGCTTTTGACAAACACTACGTTTCATAAAAGCTTTCCCACACTGCTTACATGCATAGGGTTTCTCACCAGTGTGACTCTGTTCGTGCATTCGCCAAGTATCTTGTCTCCTGAAAGCTTTCCCACATTGCTTACACACATAGGGTTTCTCCCCAGCGTGAGCCTGTTCATGTGTTTGCCAGTGATCTTTTCTGCAGAAACGTTTGCCACATTCCTTACATGCATAGGGTTTTTCCCCACTGTGAGTCTGTTCATGTCTTCGGCAAGCATGATGATCGCTGAAAGCTTTGCCACACTGCTTACATGCATAGGGCTTTTCCCCTGTATGAGTCCTTGCATGGTTTTGACAACCATGACTAGTGAAGAAAGCTTTCCCACATTGCTGACACACATAGGGTTTCTCACCTGTGTGAATTCTTTCATGTGTTTGACACCTACGTCGTGTGGTGAAACCTTTGCCACACTGCTTACAAACATAGGGTTTCCCTCCACTGTGGGTCTTTTCATGTTCTTGAAAAGAGGACTGACTGCTGAAAGCTTTCCCACATCGGTCACATACGTACTGTTTCTCCCCACAGTGAGTCGATTCATGTTGACAAACCCCACCTGTGCTGAAAGCTCTCCAACATTGGTTACATACATCGTGTTTCTCCCCAGGGTGACTTCGATCAACATTACCCAATGAATTGCTAGTGAGGGATTTTCCATACTGTTTATTTACATGAGTTTTTTCTCCAGAGTGAGCGGGATCACTCTGAAGATCTTGGTGAGAAGTGAAACTTCCTCCATATGGTTCACATGTATCCATATGCCCTTCACTGTGACATCTTTCCCGGA